CACAGACACTATGGTGTGAGCAGGCAGGCAGCAATCACAGACACTATGGTGTGAGCAGGCAGGCAGCAATCACAGACACTATGGTGTCAACAGGCAGGCAGCACACACAGACACTATGGTATGAGCAGGCAGGCAGCAATCACAGACACTACGGTGTGAGCAGGCAGGCAGCAATCACAGACACTACGGTGTGAGCAGGCAGGCAGCACAGCGCAGTCAAGTGGAAAAGGAAGGTCACCTGGGCAGGAAAAAGTAGGACAACAAAAAATATAAAATTTGAGAATTGTTCACTTCTATAAGTTTCCATTTTTATATTTAACAAAGACTTATCATCGGAATATATGAAGCACTCCTACACATGAGCAAGGGGGAAAAGCTAAATAAGCGAAGAACCTGAGCAGGCAAATAAGTCATTTCTGTTAACCCAAAGTCGCACAATGTGGTCCTATCTCACGTGACTGACCGAAGGTGGGATCTGAAGTTGAGGCAGCAGGTGAGGCGCTTGTAAATGGTGCTAGTGCTTTCACTGGCTCTTACTTTTGACAGGTTAAAGGTCAACTGACACTGCAGGAACTTCAACAAGGTAGAGCAGAAGTAGTTTGTATAGGCAAACACTCAAGCCCTGCATACAGACAAGAACTAACTTACAGATCATCCACAGTGATTCCTGAATGATAGCTATCCGATTCAATAAAGCGCGTTAACGGGCATCCCCAAACTGCACTGCAAAGTATCAATCACAAGGCCCTAATGAAAGAAAGCAGCATGCTCTGTAGAACCAGCCTTAGAATTAATAAATAAATGTACGAGAGGAAGAAAAACCCTTAAATTAAAATCAAGAGACATTTAAAGTTTGGGCACTCTTTATTACGGGAGAGGATCTTCCACTTTGAGACTATTATATATCAGAAAAGCCCCATCTGTTGTGTAATTATCTCTGATAAACGGCTGGATGCTCTGAGCTTCATTAGAGAAAGGGGAAGGGAAAGGCGAATACAGAGAGAACTGTAAATAAATCGCCTCTCCATATTTCACTTAAAACCAGCCCAGCAGGAAACCATAAAATATTTTTAATAGGTAATATTTTCCAAATACTTTACTGGAAGCTGCTGGCATGTTATGTCCAATATCTGCCCTACTTCAGAAGCCAGTCTGAAAAGGGACAAACCGGCTCTCCTTACAGATTACTAAAAATTTAATTGGAAAATCAAATAAAAAGCTTATCTACTTGGTGGCAGTGATCTTCACTTTGCAGAGAGCTGCTCAGACTTTGCCAGAGCCAACCACAGGCCATAAAGGACATGTTAAAAGGCATTACAACCTAGAGATGATGCTTTCCTTCTACAGTTCTGACGCTCAGGAGGTAGAGGCAGAAGACTGCCAATGAGACAAGCCCAGGCTCGTGGTGAGATTTACCTTTAACACCCCACCCGAACCTCTGTTTTTAATCTCTGGTGGGCTAAGGCATCACTGGAAGTCAGTTTCCAAGAAAGCAAAGGACATCTCAGCCAAAATTTAGAAACAACTCAAGAATGTTCTCATAACATCACTTGGGGAATTAATATCATATACTAAAGGAGAAGTCAAGAGTTTGATATCAGCTTAGGCAACTTGTCTCTGAAATAAAACACCATGATCAAAAGCAAACTGAAGAGCAAGGGGTTTATTTGGCTTATACTTCCATATTGTAGTCCATTATTAAAGGAAAGCAGTATAGGTACTCAAGCAGGGCAGGAACCTGCAGGCAGCAGCTGATGCAGGGGTCATGGAGGAGTGCTCTTCACCATGGCTTGTTCAGCCTGCTTTCTTATAGGACCCAGGTCCACCAGCCCAGGGATGGTACCACCCTCAGTCACTAATTAGGAAAATGCCCTCCGCCTGAACCTCATGGAGCCATTTTATCAGCTGAGGTTCCCTCCTGTCAGGTAACTATAGCATGTGTCAAGTTGTCACAAAACTAAGCAGGACAGCCACAGAATGAGAGCCTGTCACACAACAAAGTAAAACCCAAACCCAACCCCAGACGAGACAAGGTTTGATTCTACAAACAATGTGAAAAGATAATTTAAGGAGCTGGAAAAGCAAAAAAACCTATCAGGGAATTACTAAGGGAAGGGGGAACCACCAAAAAACAAACTGAAGACCTAGGGGAGAAGCACAAGAAAGTTTAAAAAAAAAAAAAGTAAAAATAAGGGGAAAAATTAGAGCCAAATAAGTAAAATCAGAGACAATAAAAAGATGGCACAGAAATACAAAGGATCACCAGAACTATTACAAATAGTTACAAATAACTATTCACCCACAATCTGGAAAGCCAAAGGAGATGATAAAATCCTACATTAAACCATGAAAAATAGAACATTTAAATTGACCTACCATGAGCCAGCACACTTACTAACAGAAAGGAACTGCACGGTCTACCAAACATTCAGAACCTACTCTAAACACGTCAAGGGGAGAATTCTTTCAAACTGCTATGAGCTTGAGACCAACCGGGTTAAAGAATGAGACTCGCAAACTGGAAAGACAGACAGACAGACAGACAGACAGACAGACAGACAGACACTTCCCACAGTAAAAGCTCTGACGAATAGGGCATATAGAAAAGATTATATGATAACACAATTAAGGTCATATGTGCCGAACACACAGCAAACAGCATAACCAACGAGGAGAAGTTGGATCCTCAGGATCTGACAGGAGACAAGAAGGCTCTCTCTCTATTGGCATCTCTACACAGCACTCTATACAGCCCTAGCCAAAGCAGTTACACAAGAGAAGGAAAGGCCATCCCGCCTAGAAAGGAGGAAGTAAAATTATCCGCTTCCTTTACACACTGTTGACATCTTTCTTCTCTTCTGAAATGATTTTCACACCGGTCCTAGTTCCATTAAACAAGTGATACTACTAAAATCCCCTTTTCTGGAATGTTATAACCTATCCCTGTTCACAACACTGTCATTGCTCCTTCAAAAGGCCAGTGACACTGTCACTTTCTGTTCATTAGCACCACAGCTATTGTGCCAAGTCCTAGGAGCTTGGCTGGACACTCAAGCTTCTACTGCTTGGGAATCATTCACTTTTCCAACTTCACTCTTCATGAATGGCCATGAAGGAGTCACTAACCAAAGAGAAACTCCAGGCAGCTTTCCTCCACAGCTCACGCTACATGTGTGAAGTGTCTCTTTACAACAGTCTGTCTTCAATATCACTTCTGAGTAAGCCAGTGCCTTTCAATGGCACTTATTACAAAGGCTGGCCTACTAACATAGATACACAGAATGTGTCAGGCTTCTAACCTCAGCATCCCGACAGGATTGGGTTGGATGACTTCTACTGTAGAATTGCCTTGTGCAATGTAAGATGTTAGCAGCATTTTCTGTCTCTCTGCACTGCGTTGCTTTGAGGCAAAGAAGAGAATAATCTCTCTTGTTTGCCATCTTCTGATTTAAAGTAACAAATATATTAAATGTTCCCGTGAAACAATAAACTCTTTTAAAGATCTTCTTTGTTTTATATTCTCAATTTAACTGAATATAGTAACACATGAAAGCATTTAAATAAATATTTTTTCCCTGCTAACCTTCCCCAAATTCGTAGACTGGATAGCCTAAACTATTACATTTCTAAATAGCCATTAAGCTTGAAACACTAAATTCTAACCTTAAGGAAAACATGAGGTAAATACTATGAGTTGCATTGTGTCCCAAAAAAAAAAAAAATCACTGTAACACATCACACACAAGAGTACACATCACATACAGAGTAACAAGAGGACCCGTGGTATGGCTCAATGGATAGTGGCACTGAAACACAGCCTTGACTAACTGGGTTCAATCCCCAGGCCCCTGAGCCTAACAGGAGAGAAAGGTGCATGCCTACTAGAGAACATCCTCACATTCTTGTATCACTCACACACACACACACACACACACACACACACACTCACACACACACACACACACACTCACACACACACACACTCACACACACTCACACTCACACTCACACTCACACTCACACACACACACACTAAACAAGAATGTATTTTCTTCATATAGCCTGCATTTTTATTGCCTAAGTTAAAACGTAGTCAAGGCCAGTTAGCAGAGGCAAGAGTTCAATCTAAGTCTACCTCGGGCTTAAGTTCCTAAGATTGGTGATTCTAAATGCTTGCTGTACATCAGAATTCTCTACAGACTTTAAAAACGGAATTAGTTAAATTAGGCTCAAGGACAATAATAAACACTAAAATTGTTTGTTAAATCCTCGGTGGCGGCGGCGGCAGGCTGGTGAGATATCTCAGTGGGTAAAGGCAGTTGTCATCAAGGCTGATGACTAGAGTTTCATCCCTAGAGCCCACATGGTGGAAGCAGAGAACAGACTCTGGCACACTGTCCTCTGCCCTCTATGTGAACCATGGCAAGTGTACATACATGCACAAATAAGTCTTTCAAAAAATGTAATAAAAACCATTTCTTTAAATATCCCTAGGGAATTATAATGTGAAGCCAGAGCTGACAGCCGCTGGTCCAGATTGGTCCAAAACCATCATGTCCTCACACAGAAGCAGAAGGCTAGTCTAGGAAGACCTCACCTTCTCTGGAGTGGCTGCACTTACTCTCTGATGTGCTAAGCACAGCATTCCACACCCACAAACTTGTCTCAAACAGAATCTGAGGTTAAGCCTTCATGACCAAGGCCCTCATGACAGCGCCCCTGGGCTGCTCTATGACTCTCACGGACAGGGACTTACATTCCTCTTTACTCGGTGAAGTTACATTCAGTTCTGTCGGGAGCGACTGCTGGCTGGGACTAAGAGTTGGCGTGGGTACGGAGGTATTGTTGTTGTCACTGGTGGTCTCTTCGGAAAACAAATCTGATTGGCTGTTACTTGTACTTGGGGTGGAATCATCATCTGGTTGTTTCTTTTGAAAATCTACAGAAAAAAAAGGGGGTAAGAAAACAGGTTAATTAAGGCCCTTCTGTCAGAGCAGTCACTAGAAAACATTAACGTTAGTGTCAAGGTTGCACAAAACAGCAAGGAAGGCTGCTGTGAGTAACTAAAAGGAAAGCACGGAAGTCAATTGTTAACTAAAAAAAATACAACCGCGTGCATGATTTGTAGACAATGAGTTAAACTTTCCATTCTACAGTAACCCCCTTCGTGGTTCAGATGAGGACAGACAGTGACTTTAATACTGAACTCTGAAAACCCAAAGATGCTCTTCAACAGTAATCAGTAGAGGGCTGGAGAGATGGTTCAGCGGTTAAGAGCAATGGCTGCTCTTCCAGAGGTCCTGAGTTCAATTCCCAGCACCCACATGGTGGCTCACAGCCATCTGTAATTCCCTCTTCTGGTGTGTCTGAAGACAGTGACAGTGTATTTAAATATATAAAAATAAATAAATAAATCTTTTCTTTAAAAAAAAAAGAGTAATCAGTAGAAAGGGGATGGTGGGATTGACACCACCAATAGGTGAGAGATCAGAAGGAAAATGTCATCACAGAAAATAGCATTTAAGATGGCAAGAGGTGGTGAGTGCGTGTGTATTATCAGTAATGAGGATAAACGTAAAAGAAATGACCACACAGCACAGGAAATGAGCTGCATTTAGTTTACAACAGACATAAAAACACAAGGAGGTCGGTTCTCTAATTAGTGATCTCATGTCTTAAATTCCTCAGGGAAACGCTAAACCACTTCAAGCTGACAACACAGCTCCTGCCCCAGGCACAGGGCAGCCATGGATGGGAAGTGCTGGACCAGTCAGGGAGGGGCCTCCAGGTCAAGCCCCACCCATTCCTGTGCTGTTTCTTTCCAGTGTATGACTCCCAGACACTTTCTTATTCAATGTTTTCACATTTTAAAAATGATTTGTCAATACTATATCAATTATCAAGAAAATGCCATATAAATAGAATAAAATAATACCCTTTGTATTTTTAAGATAAAATACAAAATTTCTATACCATCCTACTAGTATACCTATGTCAAAGATTAGTGTGTCTTTCCACAACCGTGTGCCACACAACAGGAAATGTCATGAGGCCCAAAAAGACATGGAATAGAATCTAGTAGTCATTGGAATAGAACCTAGTATATAGTCCTCAGTTTCTTGAGGCAGACAGATACCAACTTAGTCGGGCACAAGAAACTGGAGCTGCATGTGTCCCACTAGATCAGTGTACTGTCCCTGCTGTCCCCACGCCGGCCTCAGAGCACTACGGGGCACACTCATCTCATCCAGCACCTACTTCCTGACCAACACCAGAGAAACGGACTGAAGCGATGGGACTCAAGAATCCCAGAAGGTCGCGGGCGTCCTAGAGCCCCTCCTGGAAGGCAGTGGAGGTCATGGGCGTCCTAGAGCCCCTCCTGGAAGGCAGTGCTACCGAAGGGTTCAGAGACAGCTGCTGCTTCTGATCAGGGACTAAAGTTTGCAACACTTGTTTTTCTAAAATCCTAAAATAAACAGGAAAGCTAAACTCTCCAAAGCTAATCCATTACCACACACGAGGAACTCAGGACTAACTCTCCATATTTTTTACTGGTGCTGTTAATGATATATTCAAAAATATGAATCCATCAGCTAATCCACTTCATTGTTACGTCCATTTTCACGCAATTCTCACGATCTAAGCAGGATGAGTTTCTGAAAGGAGATCAATTGGGAAGAAAGGCTGGTTTTTAAAGACATGACATAAATGCCAAAGTCTTACTGCACACAGCTCGTGTCACCACAACCATGTCGGTTAGCAGCATTAACACTCTGCTGAGCAATCACTGAGAAAATCTAAAGTTTAAAATAAAATGCTAAACTAGTACATAATGCACGTTCTCTACAAGCCAAGCTGGGAGGATGGAGGAGAGAACCTGAACAAACTGGAGATGCAGATGCGACGAGGGAAGCCTCAGCAATACTGTACCCCTTCCTCCATTTTAAGCCTTGGCTAAAACATCATTAAAATTCTTCCTAAAATAATCTTTTCAAATAATTCTTTTAAAAGTATTTTTATTAAATGGTCAACTAAATAAACTGATCTAAATAAAATAGTTACAGGACACTGCCTCTGAAAAAGATGAGTTTTTAACCATGCAAGTATAGCAAAAAACAAAGGCAAGGGTCACACCCATCCGTCTCACCAGTCCCAAGACACAATGGACCTCAAGAAATGTCAACTGCACGAGTGGCTAAATGACTAAGATCCATCCTCCCTCCCTCCCTCCCTCCCTCCCCTCTACCTCTCTCTAAAAAGTCAGGGCTGAAGAAGTGACCCAGCAGTTAAGAGCATTTGTTACAATTCCAAAGGACTAAGTTCAATTCCTACACCTACATGGCAGCTCACAAACATGTTAACTCTGGTTTCATGGGATCCATACACAATAAATAAATCTAAAACAAATTGCTGACATTAGATCACACATAAAATACCTACTAATCACTATTCTGAGCCACTAACAATTCAGTGTCTTTATAAGGACTCCTAGTTCCTTATGGGTTAGCATTTATACACACGAATGAGAAAATTCCATGAATTTCTATTTGCACCATCACTAGAGATGAGAAACTCATCTCTAATTTACTCAGAGAGGTGACCTGGTCTGCTGTAACAAGGCTTCTCCATCACCACTGCAGACACTGAAACTGGGTATAAACAAAGTCGAGTGGGAGATCATGGAAGGACAGCAAGCAAAGTGTGGCTCCTCATCCCCACTCACTGCTCTACTCGAGCAGGACACAGTGGGGCTAGGTAGCTGAAAGTTTGCGCTGAAGCTGGGTCTTGAGCTGCACGTCATTCTGAATCCCGTCTGGGCTCACCCTCTGCATCCGCACCACTAAAGGACAATGTTGAGCTTGCAGGAGGGGTTCTCCACATTTCCACATCTCCTCTCCAGTCTTCAAACCCTAACTGCCCTCAGCACACACTCCAACCCTCCGCTGCCACCAGAAGTTTTTCTTTGGTATTTCATACCAAAAAGTACTTCATGTTTCAAGCAGTCAGCTACAGAAAAAAAAACCAGAATGTTGCCAAGAGTTTTGACTCAACCCATTTTCAAATAAAAATTCATTTCCTGTACCTCAAAAGTCTGGTTCATTCAAAGCACTGCATAAAAACTTCCTTTAATAGAAGAGCATTCTCAGCTTCCTCTTGTCTTCCCAGCTTATGTGTATCAGAAACTAGAGCCCTACCAACCCAGATATTTTACTTTAAAAAGCTATAAAACCACGAGCAGAAGCCAGCCAAATCACAAACTAAACTTTAGCCCTCCGATGAAATCTTAATAAAATTCTAGGTGTTGGATGTTACCCTGAGCTAATGGTCTAAGCAAGAACTGGCTTAAGCAAGAGTTAAGAGCCAACAAACTCAGTTACAAAACCTTGCAATGTAGTCACCATGTACCCTACTTAAAGGGAAAATAGAGATTAATGTGGCTGGATTTATTTCAACTTCTTTCATGAATATTCTCTTCTGGCTTTGTTAATAGCTGAAATGGGAAATTCTGGAGCAGATTCTTATCTTCTCATGGTGATCAAGTTAAACATCCCAGAGAGAGAGAGAGAGAGAGAGAGAGAGAGAGAGAGAG